GTCGAGAGAATCACACGGCATATTACTTTCCAAGACAGTTGACAATGATTTCACTGCCTCATCAAGACCATCTACACTGTTCGGGTACAACCCGTTGCAGACGAAAGATATTTCGTCCACTGTAATGCCAATATCAGCAATTTGGAAACGCCTGGCAAGGTCCTCGGGGAACAAGTACCTGTTAACAATGTTATGCCCACGGCGAGATTCTCTATACAAACGATCACCCGCCGTGAGTATTTCATCGATAGCATTGGTGTTGAAACGACCGAGGAACACCTGCCAAGCCAGTGCACAGGCTGCATTGGCCATACACTGAGAGTTGTTGCTGTCAGTGAATCTTGGATCTCCTTGGTGAAAGGATCCAACAGCAACGCAAGCAAAGTCCATGATGACCGAACCAACTCAAAATTCACGAAGAAAACAGAAAAATACTGATTAACTGAGATAAGCTCTAATTCCACAAGTGTAAACAAATGTAAAAGAAATTAGAGCGAGAACAGAGCTCAGAATCAACGATAGGATGTTTCGAGCATCAGATTGGGGTAGTGATTTCAGAGTGCAAAGTTAAGAGCGAGAACCAAGTGTCCGTTAGCGCGATAACTCTTGCAAAAACGATTTGATTTCGATGAAATTTGGTATAAACGTGTAAACCAACATTTCTTCGAACGAGTTCGTGAACCAGCATGCACGGAGCATGGGAAAGGGGATTTATGGTGGTTTTTATGGGGTATATGTTATTCTCCATAAGAATAACATGGGGCTCGTAAAATTTTCAAATTTCGACATTAAAATTAAGTTTTTGGGGTCAAGGAGAAATGTTACGAAAACACATGTGGTAAGTAAAATTTAAAGTAAAGTAAGGATGATACAAAGCAATAATAATATTTGTAAAAAGGAACGATTTAAGTATGAAAAAATAGCAAAAACCGGTAAATAGTTGAAAGAAATTTACCAAATTTCGAAAGTAGGGCGTTTTTTGAAGCCGAAGGAGTGCGATATTGGGAAAACGTTCAAGAGGGTTTTGTAGGAAATTTAATTTCCTTTCGCTAAGATTCTTTCAAATCATTTCTAGCTCACACAGTTTTCGAGCTACATCCGGTTTAAAAAAAACGTGTTTTTTCGTTTTCAGAGGTCCGCCATTTTGGATTTTTGGGGGGGTTAAAATTTGAAAATGGGACTTTTGGGAATTTCACCATTAGCTCATGATCCCTTACTACAATACTACCAAATTACAAGTCTCTAGCACGTTTCCAAACGATTCGTATGACCATACCAAAGTCATTAAATTCCAATCTTATTCTCCATAAGAATAACATGGGGCTCGTAAAAGTGGCAAAAAACCTTCAAATTTTGAGATTAAAATTAAGATTTGGGGGTCAAGCAGTAAAGTTACGAAAAAACAATTCATGAGTGAAATTTAAAGTAAAGTAAGGAGAATACAAATCAATAATAATATTTGCGGAAAAAAATTATTTAAGTATGAAAAAGTGACGAAAACCGGTAAAAATTTAATAAAAATTTACCAAATTTTGAAAGTAGGGCGGTTTTTTAAGCTGAAGGAGTGCGATTTTTGGAAAACGCCTAAGAGGGTTTTGTAGAAAATTTAATTCCTGTTCCTGGATATACTTTCAAATCTTTTCTAGCTCTTACCGTTTTCGAGCTACATCCGGTTGAAAAAAAAGTGTTTTTTCGTTTTCAGAGGTCCGCTATTTTGGATTTTTGGTGGGGTTAAAATTTGAAAATGGGACTTTTGGGAATTTCACCGGTAATGTAAGATCCCATACTACAATACTACGCAAATTTGAAGTCTCTAGCACGTTTCTAAGTGGTTCAGATGAGCATACCAAAGTCGGCATTTTTAAATGTTATTTCCCATAAGAATAGCATTGGGGGGGGAAATTCTTAAATAAGGGGGGGTTAAAATAAAAAAATGCGACTTTTCAGAATTTTCCCGAGGGTTTGGGCACTAGACCTACAAAACGCCGAAAATTTCAAGTCTCTAGCTCATCTAGAAGTGGTTTAGAATTTGTATCCCCTGTCAGTCAGTTACACATCGGGCTGTATTATTAGTTATATAGATTAGGGAATGGAGGGTGACGAAGTAACCAGTCATACAGCTTCTCTGTATTCGCTCCAACTCGAGTGACTCGTGAGGGTCTCATTTCTACATGCTACTTAGTTGTATTTGCCTTAACATTGCAGTAGGCCTACTCCTCAACTTCAGCACTTATATTCTACAGATAAATTATATCAGTCCTAGTGTACATCGGGTGAGCACGGTGTCAGCTTACCACGGTCCCGACTCAAACCTACATAGCTTTTCATTAAACAAATGAGCACTTGCTCTATAGTCATGTCTGTCCAAACTTCCGTCTAGAACTTTTCAGAACACACAATGGTGAAGAACCCGTTGGTGGTAAATAGCTGGTGTTTATTGAAATTCATTTTGTTTCCTAATTTCAACATATTCTGCAGTTACCGATGCAAAAACTTGGCATAAAAGAAGTAATATGTAGCATTGCAGAACGACAGCAAAGTTAAAACCTTTTTTCACTGTCGCCTCTTCATTATTTCTATCAATTCCTCTTGATAGTAGGCCTATGAACATTTGAATTACAATAGATTTATTCCATTAAAAACAACTTATAATCTGTTTTTGAATAAAATATAAATTTGTTTATCTTATATATTACAACATTTTTTTTTCTTTTCCGAGTTGGTTTGGCTCTTCTGCACGATCGATTTTCATGATTGGGTTCTCAAATTGAAGGCATAGATGCCAAGTTTTCACATAAAGCATCGGCAAATATTTACCTACCGTATTAATCGACCGAAACACATAATTTGATTTATTTTCTAACTCTACTCCAATTTAAGATGTACCTTCACCAGTTATAATTTTACAATCCTATATATTTTAATCTAAGAACCTTCAGTGAAATACTGGTTTTCTTAAGCTATTATTCAAATCGGACGAGTTTCGAGCAAACGCAAGGTGAACAACCAATATAAAAACTATTTTTCATAAGGATTTTATATATGTAAAATTTAATAGCTGCAGTATTTTTAATGTTTTTATGTAGGTTTTAGACTAAAAATAATCAGTCAATTTTAGGATTTAATTTTAGATATTTATCGTTTGAATCATTTAAGTTCAAGATACTGTATTACTCAAACAAAAATCATAAATTAGATTATTTCTACGATTTTATATTTATTTCAACGCTGCAGAGCAGCATGGGACCTCTAGTATTCTTATTATGGTTTTTTTATAAAATTTGACCAAATTGAATAGCTTGAATCTTAAAATACAAACATTTATGGAAGATTTTATGAAACTTGAGAGAGTCATATCTCTCAATGTGTTAGGCCTATAATCACCAGTTTGGTCTTATATTGTGAGTAATTTAATGTAGTTTTAAAGTAAATGAGGTTGTTTCAATGAAAAATAATGAGGAAGTTATGCTTTAGGGTTAACGTTAGCCAAACTTTAAAAAATTTCAAAATTTTATAATTTTAGCTGTTGTTTGCTGAGTCATATCTTGAAAACTATTATGCCTGTAATAACTATTTTGGTCTTAAACGATAGGTAATTTAATGTACTTTAAAAATGGTTATGGTTGTTCTTTATGAAAAAGTGATGCTTCAGGGTCAAAATCACACAAACGTAAAAATAGTGCGAAATTCCGCCGATTTTTAAGCTTTTTGGAGGTGATCCGGAAGGTCGCCGAGGTCGAAAATTTGGATTTAGCATCTCGGTAATATTACTAACAACATAAAAAAAAGAAACCTACTACCCCATTTCATGCAAGGTAGACCCTGCTTTTTATAACAAGGTTACTGGGTTAGTTACCCTCTAGAATATTTTTTATATTAAAGTTTCCAATGTTTTGTTATAAGGTAAAAAATAATGAGCCAATTATTGCTGTCAGCTAAAATCAATAAAAATGTCACTACTGTATAATACTTTTATAGCATGTTAAAATCATAACAATTCATTAGCTATTTGCCCATGTAAGCATCAACAAGAAACATACATTTGGTAAATTTGGAAATGTAAAAGCAAACCTGAAAGCAGTGCATTAGCAAATTAATGATATGAAAATCTGAATGTGAGCATTTGTTATTGGTTTTGTGATTGGCCTGGGCCATGCACTGCACTGCACTCCAGTAATTAAAAGTGGATCGGAACTGGTGATAGAACTGTTCTCGTTGTTATTAGCTCAATTCCAACAATACAGTCATAGTTAAATGGTATTTTATAATTACAGTAATAATCGTAAAATAGTGGGTGACGAGGTACGGTGAAGAGTAGTACGGTACTTCTATTTCTTAAACTTTAATACTGTGTTGCGATTTAATCTTCTTTCGGTCCTATTTTCTGAATAGTTCCCCATTCCCTTAACTTAATAAGACCTAATTGGAGCTAATGCTGCAGTAGCGTATGCGACAAGAGTGGATCACTTGTCAAGTATGGTAGACAAAGTTAAAAAAGTGTTAAAGTGATTCTCATTAAAAATACCCTTTTATTTGGTTGATTCTTGGACAAAGTGATGAAGACTACATACTTATGTGTTATGTTCCGATTATTTCTGGCCTTGAGTGTTGACTCACATCTCCTCCCTACAGTTCTCTTTCTCCACCATCTGTCCACCTCACAGTCTCCTTCCCTCAATCACCATAACATTTATTTCCCTTGAAATGCCTTCATTTCACATTATATTCACTGCCAAACCACCTATTTTTCCACCCCTTCTCTGAATCATTGTTCTAGACGCGACAGTGGCATCATAAGTATGAAATGAAATGAAATGTGCTTTATTGTACAATTTGGAACATTACACAATGATACATACTTATGTGCACACAAAAACAATGGTTACTAAACCGTCTGTTTGGTATCTACTCATGGAACTACCCCTACTATTACAGTATTCAACAGTTGTAATATATCTAGATGTACTATTTGTGTTCTGACTGTGGTTTTATGTTTACAGATCAACCTGAGACTGATCCTAGTGAGTGGAAAGACTAAGGAGTACCTGTTCAGCCCCAGCGACTCAGCCGGGGACATAGCACAACATGTCTTTGACAACTGGCCTGAAGGTAAACCACACTTGCTAGCGGATATTCATCTTAGATCCAATTGAATGTTATTTATAACATATCAAAATTTTTTTTATCAGAATATACCAATTTTTAATTTATTATAATCCTTTATTCTATTTCAAACTCTCTTTACAAGGCTAGTGCTTCAAAAACACACTTTTTTAAATTTTAATGTGTTAACCCTATTGAAATTTTCAATTATTGACCATATAGGGAATTAAGTACTGACTGACCCCCTTGGTACGACCTATCCCTGAGACCAATTTACTTTTTCAGTTTGATGTCTCCAGAGGCCAAAAACACCATTAGTTCTAATTCGTATATATGCAGTATATGTGTGTTCATTATCATGAAACTCGTAATCATCCAATTTTGATGGAATTTTGGTATAAAAGTTTAAAACAACGTTTATTTAAATGAGTTTGTGAAATTGCACGGTCAGACTATGGGAATCAGGTTTTATGGTATAAAAATGGGGTTTCCCGTGTTTTACCCTTAAAACAAATTCCAAATTCTCCATAAACCTTTCTGTAGTAGAGCAAACAAATAATTTTGAATATTAAAGCGTTGTTGTACGCTTAATGATTACAGAGAACATCCCAAAAAACAGTAAATTTAAAATTCCTATGTTATTTATATGGAGAATAAGTCAACTGTGGTAGTTTGCTTGCTTAGACTATGCAAGCATTTTTTTTATCACTCTTTGTCAAGTTTGTCAAATTTGATCATAATATTATTATGATCAAATTTGACAAATGTACACTGTAATTATTACACACTAAAATGTCAACAATTCAATAAAGACAAACTTATTTACCTTCCATTTGCCTTCAAACCTAAGTACTTATGAAACATATTGTTATTTAAATAGGAAATAAATCCAAAAATCCAATATTGAAATATAAAACTGCATAGCCTGTTAGGAGAAAACAGGAATTGACGTTACTCTTTTGTCATATTTTCAGGTTCAGTACAGAACTTTTGTGTCATCAATTCCTAGGATATTGTTCTATCCACATAATTCACCTCAGAAGTTCACTGCCTACATAATTTTATAATGTATGAAAATTTAGGATAAAAAAAAACAAAAATTGAGAATTGTATTAAGTAGCTTTGTTATGGTTTAAATAAAGCAATAAAAAGCTATGAGATCACTTTTATCATCGTAGTTGGTGGGACCAGTACTACCATCTTAAGTGTCTGAGCATTCCCACCATTTCAATGCAAATTCATTTACTTTGTGCAGTGGGGATAAAGAGCTAAAATGAGCTCAGATAAAAGTGTTTTTTTTATGAATCACAAACCAATTTAAATTCATCCTTTAGAAATGACAACCTATGTAGTTAAAACCCTGTAGTCTTCTAATTTTTGAAATTGGAATACCAACATTTTCCAGAAATGACGTTGCGAGATATCTTTTAATGTTTGACCAATGTCGTTGCAGACTGGGCGGAGGAGGCAGTGGAGAAGGCAGAGATCCTGCGACTGATCTACCAAGGCCGGTTCCTGCACAGCAACGTGACGCTGGGCGCGCTAGGACTGCCCTTCGGCCGCACCACTGTCATGCACTTAGTGCCACGTGAAAATCTACCCGAACCTAACTCTCAAGGTGAGACCTGGGACGGCATCTCTATGTGGGTCCCCAAACACTGAACTGAAAACATTCCGATAATTCATCATGTAAATTTATAAATATACGAATAATTGACCAATTATTGATTCAAGTTATTGCGGTTTTGGGTATTGGGGTATGAGTTGAAGATCCCAGTTAGTTGAAGAAGGTGTATGACCATTAACTTTTAGATTCTGAAGTAGACTTCCAACCAATAAGGACCAATTAATTGTTTGAAGTTCATTTTTGGTGATGATTTACGTTGTCTAACACATGATAAATGGACCAGCTGTAGCCATTGTTTTATTTTAACAGAATATGGTTGAATAAGCCATTCAAAGAGTTAGTAGCAGTTTAAAAATGTTATTTTCTCCCTTGCTTTTTTGTTTTACTGATATGATTAATGTGACATAAAACATTCTGTAGTTACAATAAGTTATCCTTTGAGTTTGCCTTAGTTAAAAATTTAACATTTTCCATTGAAATCAGTAATTTTAGTACAATCTGCTGGTGACTCAATTCAACTAAACCAAAACTTTAATATGCTGATAAATAGAACGTTCTACCCATTGTCAATGGTAAAACATACATAACAACATACTGCATTTTAAAGACAAAACGGCTAATCGCATGTACCAAGTCTATGTTGGCAATGTTCAGTCAAAATTTCTTCTATAACGCTTTATATTTTTCCAAACTCAGACATTAGCTATTGCTTACAAGACAAGTATTCTGAGGTATCAACCCATTCAGTACCATATACATAGTATGCCATAGTTCCACTTTCAAAAAGTTCTGTATGTGCTCATTACATTTTTAGAAGATTCACACAATGTTGGTCCATTAAAGAAACAGGAAAGAAAGAACACCATGATTTGGCTGGTTAGTATTTTGCTGTTAGAAATATCCTGATGAAAAAAAAAATTGAAATAGGGACTAATGGCCATTATAGCAAGTGACATAGTGATAAAAGGCTGAGATCAGTCCAAGCAAGGACATTGGAGCAAAGAACTGTTATGCTCTCTAGAAAGTTTAAGTCGCTTTCTAAGAATGAACAGGGAGTAACCTTTATCAAATCTCTAAGCTTGTGTTCGTGTCACAGTTCATGTTGTTCCAGTGCAATAAGCCTGACGTGTTTTGACAACTTAAAAATCAGGCTGATAGAATGGTTAAATAGCCTAAGTGCTACAAGGGTACCCATGTGCGAATAGCACACTTTAACAGAGTTTAAAACTTGTGTCCGAGGCAAACTGAACAATGCAACATCCTTTTTACTTTTCAAATATTATGTGTAAGAAAATTATTATTTAAATAAGACGTAGATTGTAGATCTATATCATAACGAGTAGGCCTAATATAACTACCTCAATCAGCTTACAGTTATTTAAAAGCAGCCTATTTAAAATCCATTTTCAACTCCATTGTCGTTTACAATCTGACTGTGGTTAAACATTCAACTGAAAGATCAGCTGCTCACAAGTTCATATCTAAACAGTTATAAAGAAAGTTAGTCAGAGTCACTGAGTCTTTGGAAGAAAAATTAAAAAAAAAACCTCAAACGCTAGGGGTGGGGAGCCCTAAGTTAAATGACCTTGATAGTTATAATTTGTTACTCTGCTAAATCGTCTTTGGAAGCAAAGTAAAAAAAAACCTCAAACGCTAGGGGTAAAAAAAATGACCTTGATAGTTATAATTTGTTACTCTGCTAAATCGTAACATTTACTATGACACCTCAATTGTAAAGATTGCTTAAGTAGACAGTTAAAAAAGGTATGAAACAGAGGTAAGCCTTATTGTATCATGTGTATAGATGCTCTATTGGACCAATCCCCTTAACAAAAATTAATCTTTTAAAATGTTACTAGCTTTTACTATCATTAAACAAATTATTTCAACAAACAAGCTTACAGTCCAAATAAATTTTTGTAAAACAAATTTCAAGGTTTGGTATTTTTTTCTATGAAAAATTTGTGTGTAACCCACATATTAAATTTCAGACATGTATATTGACAACACATTTTCAATAACATCATAACTATTAGCACCTATCAAAGTAAATTTTAATTTAGAGTCTAATTATTAAAATTAGTTCAGTGGAACCTCAATAACAATTCACAACTTATAATATTGTGTCATTTTCAAATTTCCTTGAATTTACTTTACCCCTAATCACATGTTATTATTGCAAACTCCGATAAGAAGTCAACCTTAATTTCAAATCTTATTAAATAATCCCCATGAAAGTCTTGTTATCAAGGTTTTACTGTATTGATTATGTTAAAATTTCCCCGACACTTTACAAAATGATGGGAGGCAGAGCATCTAAAAATGAATTAACAAAGAGTGAGTGTACAGTTTTGAAACTTTTTATGGCAGTAAGAACGAAACTAAACTCTCTTAGAAAGTTGGCTACCATCTTCTTGTTTGTTGCTTCAAAACTTCACCAGCCAAGTACATTTTACCCTGTGTTCTTGTGTTTTGAGTGCCAATTAATAAAACAAATGATTTTGTGTCAATGGCTTAGGTGAACTTTCTATCTTCTCTATACTTATAAAAGGCAAAGCCCTCACTGACTCACTCACTCACTCACTCATCACTAATTCTCCCACTTCCCATTTACCTAGGAGGCTGGAATTCGGTACACCGATTCTTTGGGCATTAAATAGGAAAACTAAGTAGTTTTTATTCTGATCGGGCTTTCGGGCTCCGCCCCAGTGGCTCTGGAGTTTCCCATGTTAACCTTATGAGTACTCATATTTAAATGGAATTAAAGAGTCTAAACAGCTGGTTCAACTAAAAAAGTTGATTCTGTGATGTTCAATAGCATTAAAGAGTTAATAGGTTTACCAACAGGGTGCAGCACTATTATTTTTTTACATTCATGACAACAGCTTGCAACCAAAAGGTGAGTGAGCGTAGTGAAATAACTTCAACCTGGAGGGGAGTTAGCGTAGCGAACGAGCTAACCTGAAGGCAAGTGAGCGCAGCGACCTAAAGGTGAGTAAGCGTAGCAAACGAACTTCAATCAGGACGTGATTGAGCCATGCGAATGAGCTCATCTTGAAAATTAACGAGCATTGACATAAAACCACATTAGGAAAGGAAGACGACTTGACCAATTGAGCAGATTTTTTTCATGAATAGAGCCAATATAACCAAAGGCTTAGTGGAGATACTCATTTTTAATTTAATTCATTAATACTTACGAAGTTAAACGGGGCAAAGCCCGTGGGTACAGCTAGTTCTCTATAAAAGTGCAAAGATGAATTGTGTTATGGATAACAATTTACCTTGGCTTTTCATTTCATTAGCTTAAGTTCTCAAAGTTTTCACATTAAAAATTAATGTGTATGCAACATCAACATAAAACTAAAGATGTGGTGCACATGTTCTGTTTCTCAAACCTAAGTATCTTTTTTCGTAACTTTATTACATATTTCTGTTTGTTTTTATTGGATTAATATGTAAAAAAACTTTAACTCGGTCTCCTAAAAAGACGGCTACCAGTAAATCACCCCACAACTATAAAGTTGAAATTGTCTGTAAAACAAGATTGCAGACGGCAATGCCCTTCTCCTTAGCCAAACAAAGCCTTTCTTCATATTGGCTTTTCCATGTTTTAGATTCTTTAATAAAGTATTGTAAGTTAGTCTTCACAAGTCTTTATGCTATTTTGTAGCTGGGTCAAAACGTAGATTTCACTTAGGGTTTTAATTGTTATGTACAAATGATGCACTGTACTTAAATAAAATGTAGATTTATAAAGTTACAAAATAGTTGATAAGATTAGCCTAATTGTTATTGACAAAAATATCAAATAGATTTTTGGCAATATACCATTAGGTGCGAAGTTTAATAATTTTTTCACAATATTTTTTTCCAAGAAATATTTTTAACATAAAGTCACAGTAAAGCTTGACTGGGCTTGCAAGGAGATGTGCGATGACTCCTTTGCAAAAGTTAGACGTTCCAGGCAGGAATGGTGAACACCGGCACACCAAGAGGAAAAAAAGAGAATAGTAACACATGTAATGAATAATGTACAGTGCTGATTTTAGTTTTAAGTGTGTTGTAGTGTTGAGACTGAGAGTGAGTCGGTTAGAGCTTTGTGTCCAATACTGCAATAGCCACAATTTTATCTCAGAAAAGACCACATAGTAATAATACCACTCAAAGTTGCCAGTTGCTCACGTTTTTAGAGCTATTATTAGTTTTTAAAAATCCTATGTAAGCCCCCTGAGAGACTTCAGCCTACATAGTTGTAAATAGTTAAGATGAGACCCATGCACAAATTGCACCTTTCAAAAGGGTTAAAAACTCATATCCAAAGCAAAACGTATAATTTAATACCCTTTAGTTTTCAAAGATTATAGTTTGTTTATGACAATTACAGTATTAGGTGAAACGTTATCCACACTGTAACAAGTTATTTACCTACCTCAATCAGGTTATAATTATAAAATACCCCCGCCGCAGCAAACCTGCAGACATAGCGAATTTCCATTTGCCTGATTGGATTTTAACTAAAATGTCTCCTTAAAAATATCACATTTATTCCCTACTAGCTGTACCCGCGGGCTTTGCCCTGTTTTACTTCATAAGTGAGCTCGTTCGCATGGCTCAATCACGTCCTGGTTGAAGTTCGTTCGCTACGCTCACTCACCTTTAGGTTGGAGCTCGTTCGCTGCGCTCACTTGCCTTCAGGTTAGCTCGTTCGCTACGCTAACTCGCCTCCAGGATAAAGTTCGTTCGCTACGCTCACTCATCTTTTGGTTACAAATTAGCTGTTGTCATAAATTAAAAAAAAATAATAGTGCTGCACCCTGTTGGTAATCCTGGTAAGTTTTTAATGCTTTTGCATATCATAGAACCAACTTTTTAGTTGAAACAGCTGACTAAATTATTTAATTCCTTTTTAATATGAATACTCATAAGGTTAACAACATGGGGAACTATAGAGCCACTTGGGCGGAGCCCGAAAGGATTTTTGAGATAAAAATATGCCTATACGTTAATCGGGAATGTGAGCTATCATCATGCCAAATTTCAACAAAATCTGTCCAGTGGTTAATGCGTTCACTTGTCACAAACATACATCCAAACTTTCTCATTTATAATATTAGTAGGATTTAAACAGAATTAGTTTAATGAGTACTTAGGTTTGCTGCAACAGGGAGGGTAAAAAAGTTTTTTTATGTAAAATGTTAAAAGGTACTGTGGTTTGGTAAGAAATTAATGTATTTTCGAAATTTGATCAAAATATGTTCATAAACAAGCAAACTACAACAGTTGACTTATTCTCCATAAGAATAACATGGGAATTTAAAAATTACAATTTTTTGGAATTTTCTCCGTAACAATTAGGCGCATAAAAACGCTTCAATATACTAAATTATTTGTTTTTTTAAGCTCTACAAAATGGTTTAAAAAGAAATTGTGAAATCTTGTGTTTTTAGGGTCAAAAATGGGAAAAACCTATTTTTACCACATAAAACCCCCCATAAACCCCTGTTCCCATAGTCCGATCATGCTGGTTCGCGAACTCATTCAAGTTTAACCCGCCTTACACCTTTAAACCAAATTTTATCAAAATCGGACAAAAATTACTCAAGTTATCGTGCGGATGGACACATATATATATATATATATATATATATATATATCTATATATAGATATATAAAAATTTGAACGAATGGTGTTTTTGGCCTCTGGGGACATCAAAATGAAAAAGTAAATCGGTCCCGGGCTTAGGTCTTACCATGAGACCTACGGTAATAGCTACTTCCCTTTAGGGAAATTCGCTAAAAACGTAGCTTATTTAAAATCCATTTTCAGAAACTGTTTTGTCTCTACTTTTGTTGTTTTGAAGGATCAGTTGTTAAATTATAGTTCACATTTAAACCGTTGTAAAGAAAGTTGGTCACGATCACAAATTCTTAGAAAGCGAAATAAATAAAACGCCCATGGGTGAAGCCCTACAGGAAATTACCTTTTCGGTTACTATTCGTCACACCGCGAGATAATAAGCTTTAAAATGGCACCTCAATCGTAAAGATCTGTTGAATGGGAGAGCTGAAACAGGGATTATTCATTGTAAGCACTAAAATAATGAAATGCTGAATCATGATAGTGTTTAATACGAGTGTTGTTTTTTAATTAAGGCCTCTATTGAGCTCATTGCAGCCATCAAGCTTGTTTGAATCCAAGACCAACGCCATATTCTTCCAGTCAGTAGCTACCATTCTAGCCAGCCAGTCCTCTTCAAGATGATCATTCTTGTCTTAATGAATAATTAATAGTCTGAAAGCGATGGGAAGGAAAATATCTACTATTATTCAAAATTGGTGGGCTAAGCAAATCAATTTGAATTATCAAGAGTTTTGAATTATCGAGAGTTCGATTTATCAGGAAAAAATAAACCAGTGAATTACAGAGAGTTCTACTGTACAACTTCTGACTTGACTCCCCCACTCTACTTTGCACTTCTTTTTTTCCGCAATCGAAAGGGGTTTGTATATATGATTAGGTCCAATGATAAAACAACAAATAATTTAGCTTCGGCTACGGTTCGGCACAACATAAGGCTTCAACGAAACAGAACTTGGTGAACTACAAAACTAAGTTTAAAACGCATTCATTCACTGTGCATGACGAGTAATCTCCTCAACGCCGACGCGCGACGAGTACACTCACTCGTCAAAGCACTGTTTATAAACTATTGTTCAATTTTTCCAATGCGAGGTTAGCCACTGCCGTGAGACGTTGTTTCGGTTGCCGCTTATTGTTCCTTGTTCCAGTGTTATACTTCAATCTGGTATAATTTGTTTTCCGACGGGCTATTTTATTGGTAATAGGGATTGTTACAAATTTATTATATTGTGGGGTTTAGGCTTCGATCTAATGACATGCAATAGAATAACGATAATGAATGTACTGTAAGCATTGTGAAAGGAACCTAACCTCAAAATTGTGCTTGACTGCAAACACTGTCAACCAGAAAATAGATACCTAGGCCTACTGCTCAAACTTAATATCAAAACGTCCAAAACTACTGTGGAACAGAATGTATAGTTTTCTGCTATAACATGAAGGGAGCCCTGACTTTGAATTATAGAATGTTTTGCTGACGAAAATTTGAATTACTGCTTGATATTTGACTTCGAATTATAAAGTGTTTTGCCGACGAAACTTCAAATAACTGCGTGTTCCAAATTGGCCTGCCTTTTATTTGGACTTTGAAATGCCGAGTGTATCAAAATACATGGTAAATATTTGAAATGTTGAGAGATTCTCTACGGACTGATCTTTTATTTTGAATTATCAAAAGTTTCAATTTATTGAGTGTTTGAATTAGGTACCAAGAGTGGGCTGTAATTATGAATCAGAGTATGAAGGCATACACCATTATTGAAGTCCATCACAAGTTTACAGATCTGAATGAAGTAAAGTGTTTTGGAAGAAGGAGTTTAGAGGTGGTCGTGAATATAAGCTCAATGTTTACAATGTTTTGCACAAGATCTGAGTCAGATTTTAGAAAGTGACCAAATTAAAGGAATTAAAGGAGTGCGGATTGTGGTGTGACAATGATAGATTGCTGAACTCATATTTAGAACACACTATAAACCAGAATCATGGTAAACCCTGGTAGTCTTAAACACGCTAATTAGCAAGCAAAGTTTCCTCAACTTTAACTTTAATTACTGTCTCGATGGGAACTGATAGAACACTCTTTCCGGGACGTTTTGTGCCAATGTGTACGGCCTTCTGCAAACTCCTGATAACAATTAATTGTGCACATTTTCTATCTCCAAACATCTTTCTGCACACACATTCTGTCAACTGATTTCAGTTGGGGTTGACCTGACCTGCATCCCACAGGAACGTAATCAAAGAACACAACTCATACTTGGTGATAGTATCGATTATCCTTCATATTGCTTTCAGCTACTGTGACAAGAGTAATCCTCGCATTGAGGCGGGAACTAGCCTAAATAGTAGTAAATAAATTGAAATACATTGCGTTGCTGTACTGTACACCATTAGCTCACTTGGGTTCGACGTACGGAAACCCCTCCTGCATTGAATGCTAATATTGTACTTATCTAAAATTGTCTGTGTGCAATATCAAGTGTGTTAACAATGATTTCATGTAAGAACCTGTTTGTTGTAGACCAACGGCAGAAGAGCAAGGGAGGGGGAAGCAGTTGCTGCTCCACTTCCTGTGTCATCTTGTAATCTGCAGACAAGTTACTTCTACCTCGAGGCAACACTAGGAGGGTGCATCAAATGTATATGTGATTCAATGTCTTTCCCCATGAATTTTTATTCTTGCCTCGAAGACTTTCTGCCGAGAGTGACGGGTTGTAGGTTGTGACGATCAGACTCTAGTGCGATTGCGGTTGCGTCCATGTCACTTGTGTAATATATATAGTGTCTTTGTTTAGTGTTCGGGACTCCGTATCTTCATGTATGGGAGTATATTATGATTGTTATAAGCCGTTTGTATATAATATTGGGCCTGAATAGGATTTGTTTGACATTTTCCTTAGTAACACCAGAAGGCATAATTTATAGACTTCTAGTTTCAACAGTTTTTTGCAATACCACTATGTTGGTTGGAGAAATTTGAATCTATGACTTGTACGGTGTCAGTATTTTTTTTTTAAGAATTGAAAACTTATTTTGATTACTATACTAAATTAATGTATGTGAAAACTTTCATCATATTGTATTCTCTTGAATGTATCTATTAAAACAGGCTTCAGCACGAATACTAGAAAAGTACCGGTATGGATCATAAACATAAAACAAATGACATTTTGGCCCAAAAGTAAACAAAACCCCTATACTAATAAAATTAATTAACATATGGTTTTGTTTACTTTCGGGCCAAAAACGTCATTTGTTTATGTTTATGATCCATACCAGTTCTTTTCTAGTATCAGTTGGCTTCAGTTATAAAATAGTACTGTAATCTTATCCTGACGTGGTATGTAACTATTTTTGCTATTAATAAATTTGCTTTAATCAGTTTTGTTTTATTTAATAGATTTACTTTTATTTTCTAATAGAAATTTAGGTTACTTTATTTCATTTTGGAAAAGATACTCTTTATTATGTTGTATTAGCAGAGATCTGTTTTTAGTTTTATTGAATTTCAAAGACTTTTTATTTTGTTATGTTGTTTGAAATAATAAATATAGTTTTATATCAGACAGTTACTTCCTTCTTAGTAAACCAATTTTATGTGTATTAGAACAAGCTGTGTAACTTAACTAATTTGTACCAGGCTGTGTCACATTTCCCTGTGTTATCTATAAATTATCTTATGAGTTTCTGATAGCAGTATTATTGCAAAGCACCAAGCTGTTGAAACTAGAGTAGAAATATATTTGTGTTTAATATCAACACAAATCCATATACATTATGTAAATATTATTTCTTATTGTTACAATTTATTGCCTACAGTAAGTATATTTTCAATAATCACTGTGTACAGTTTGTGATGTCTTGTTTTGAGATAACGATAACTATCATGCTTTATGAGTGGAAAATTCAGGGCAGGCAGTGTACTATAAATAGGCACATCAGAGGTATTAATTTATGTTTATTCCTTACACTTCTTCAAACATGGCTTTCAAGCCCTACAAATAAAAGTGTATTGTTAAATATATGTTTTACAAGTACAATAATTATTTAATAAAAAAGTACTTGATCTAATTTAATGAGTTTTTTTTCGGCAATATCTGCTACTGCAAGTATATAGGTTATCAATAAAACTTCAGTTACTCCCTGACGTAACACAGTTGCACATAAAAAATAGGAAGATTCACAAACATAAATTTATTGACACTGATTTAAAACCATTGCTTTACATTTTGAGTAGTTGCAGTATTTATTATTTGTAAAGTTTGAAGTGTCTGTTTATTTTATCTGTCCGCGGAGTGTATTACAGTCCAGAGTATGTTCCCAGTCGCCATGTTTGTCTGTCTGCATGATTCGTTCTTGTTGCGGCTGATTTCAACCAGATTTATTATTGTTAAAATATTAATGGATATATGAGATGTAAATTTGTCCTTAAAAACTTATTGTAAATTTTGTATTCTTTCTTAAATAGATGTGTTCCATTCTAGCAGGCCTAGTATGGTTTCAAATGTTACTGAGCTATTTAAGATCAAATGTTTTACCAAGCTAATGATCGTCACTACCTCACCACCTCATAGTGTTAAGTGAAGGAAGTTCTCTGGTAGCTTTCCTCGAGTGGGAGACAGTCCTATATATTGTTTGCTTCTAATAAGGTGAACGAATCTACAGCTTAGGCTATGATTAACCAGATCATGGGATTGTTATAATGCTAAAAGCCTTGGTCTCCAAAACAGAAGTCCCGTGCACTAATTAATATACCAGTCACACAATGATCTCCATAGTTGTTGCTAATTCTAAATAGAAATGTATATATTAATTAATAACTAATATTAATATTAAATAGTTAAAAAATACAGTATATTCATTTCATTACTAAAAATTGTTTTTTTGAATTCGAGACAATCAATAATTTGTATCATCTAAGGCTCAATGGTGTAAGAGAAAAAGATTAGATAGTTCTTTCAGGCCTCGTAATGTGATAGTGATGATTCAGTGGGTTTCTCATCCGGGGCTATTCCAAGACTTTATCCTCTCCAGGCTTAAATAGGAAATCTTCCCGCAAATAGCCATATAATAATTTATTTTAGAAGGAATTTAATCTCTTGATGAACTTTCATTATCAAATCTATTTGTTTATAATGATGTGTTGATGATAAACAGTTAGTTCAGAGCTGTCATAGAATGTCCTGCTAGAATGGAGCTCTGTGATAGATCAGCTTGGGTCGGCCCCAATGGCCAGCTTTTATCACACTATGTATGTTTGTCTTCACTTTCAGTTTATTGTAAATATTAGCGATGTAATATTTTTTTAAAAAACAAAGAAAATAACAATATGTTGCATAATGATGATTGTAATTTTTCTTAGGATTTTATTTAGCTGACGACGAGTAGTGTTGACAATTATCTAGAATAAAGTTGATCAATTGAAACACTAAACAGATGTATGATTCTACCTCGCCTCTACCAAGAAGTTTTGGTAATGATTCTATCAAGAAGTTTGTTATTTTGGTACATAATAACCAAGTGATTGATTAAAAATTTATCCTCTCTTCCCTTGAAATGTTTCTGTGGTGATTCTACCTTAAAAACCTAGAACTGCCAATCGGTCATTTTATGGCCGATCGTGGTCTTTTGTGAAATGCCATCCGTCAGAAAATTTAGTATTTTTTGTAGGGTTAGCGTAGTTGAATTCTTGTTTTCTTTGTCTGCTGACTTTAAAGTTCAAGGTCAGCTGAAGAGTCATTTACATTTTATAAAATAAAAATAAAACTTTAAATTTTTATGGAGAATATACTAAAACAATACTTATTTTTTTAAAGTAGAAAATAGTTCTTATAATGAAATTTAAATACCATTTATGGTTATTTTTATGGCCCATGAGAAATATATGTATATATTATATATAGTATGCCAATTTTGTGTACAAACTATAAATAAATAGGTCAAAAATTTAGGGAAGGTTAATCATAATACAGTACACTCTGCTTTTTGCTGAAACAAATTATATACAATATAGTCCTATAACTTTTTTAAAAATAATATTTTTTCAAATTTTTTAACTCAACTTTAAAATTCAAAGTCAGCTGATGAGTCAATTCAGAAAAAATAAATAACAATATTTATTTCCAAAAAGTAGGTAAGATTTAATATGAAATGTATAGGATGTCCATAAAAAACGTTTCAGGACTTTGGGAAATGAATCCTCATACGAAAAGTAAGAAAAAAGTGTTTGCGAAGGTATGTCCGAAAATGCATATTTACCCAGTTATCCGCCATTTTGTTTTTTATTCAAAAATATTTTTTATCTGTTTTTTCATTTGATAATTATGAAATTTGGTAACCAGGTTATCATACACAAGACCTATAATATTAAAAATAATAAAGTTGTTCCAATTGTAAATTTCAAAATGGCGGCCAATTGAATTTTTCTAACTTACATAACTCAAAAACGGCTAATTCTATGAAAAAAAGTCAAGAATACTTTTTTTGCATTTTCAATTCCCTATCAAACGATACCAAGATCAAAAAGATCGGACAAAAAATTACTGAAATATAACGTTTTTGTGTAAAAATAAGGCAAAATTTAGGGTTCCCCGACTAACTTTGCCTTATTTTTACACAAAAAACGTTATATTTCAGTTATTTTTCTGTCCGATCTCTTTGATCTTGGTATTGTTTGATAGGGAATTAAAAATGCTAAAAAAACATATTCTTGACATTTTTCATAGATTAGCCGTTTTTTTAGTTATTAAAGTCCTGAACTCTTTATCTTTTATCCTAATTGGATATTGTCAAACAAACCTTGTTTAGTTTATCCTTGAGCCTGACATATTTGTGTAAATAAATTTACTTCACCAAGCCAATTTCAGTAGATTGGTTATACTGTAGATTGGTTATTCTCTGGAAGTTATACCAGACAATAACTATTCATAGAGAATATTTTTAATTTTAAAAATCAGAAAATGCATTAAAATGGGGTCTGGCACCTTAAAAGAGGGTCTCTAGATCTAATTTAATACAAGTTGATTAAAAGCACATTCTCATCATACAATAACATTTTCTCTAGCTTTTAACTACCATAAGACTAAATTCACTCTGTGGTATAAGAAACCTATATTCACAAGTGGGATACCTTATCCGTCTTTTATACCCTATCATACCCTAGTTCTTTAACACCATGCCTTCCTCACCACAAAAAGAGGTTTACATGCTTTTCTCTACGTGACCATGTCTATTGCAAGATTGTTTTGCTCAAGGACAATACAGAATTTCTGATTTCTCCTGGTTCCACAGGAGAGTTTGAACCCTTGCAGTCACTTGTTAGGATTTCTCATACTAATGAAGTCTATATTAAAATACCACTCTGGTGTCTAGAACATCTTTAAACTTGACCCACAGAGGGGCACAATTTATACCTTCTCATATCAAAACTTTCAGTTTTGTTTGGAGTTTATAAGTACAAAAAAATAGTATTCAAATGGGCATGTGCAACAAAGATTTTTCTATGAATACATTTAATGAAATTTATATTTTACACATTTATACACTGTACATAATGATTACTGATTACTCCCAAAAATCAGATGAGTGTTTACTATCTTCTCCAAAGCCTGCAGATATGACACTGCTGCTAGAGTCTGTCTTGGATGGGTTCAGCTCTCTCAGAATGTCACTACCTGATGTCAGGGAAGTTGTTGCTCTCTCTACACTCTCCACATCCCCTAAGTCTGTAACAACAGCAGTGCTACATCAACACTGAATGCAAATATGACGGCTATTCAGAAAGTAAGGAAGTTTTTGTCTTATGTTGATACACAAGTGCTGATCACACACTTTCTAACAGAGACGTGCTCGTCTCCTTAACGTCTGTCCAGTCGTCACAGATGACAAGTCGTTGTGCTGTACTTTGTCATAATATTTAATTTTAAAAGCTGCCTAGACTCGCTTTTTGATTGCTGGAAGTCTAAAAACAATACTGTAATGTAACACATAATTGCAGCCTGCGCCAGTGGCGGCAATAGCGGGCCCGGGGGCTTGCGAGCTAGGAGGGCCTGTGAGTCTTGACCGGGATTTTTCGGGAAATTTTACCGGGACATGGGCCCGCGATTGTGCAACAGATGATAATGTTTTTGAAGATTATTGGGAGAGGGCGGCCCGGCAAACAAACATGCGGGGAGGGTGGGGGCACGGGCTCTTATTGCCGCCACTGGCCTGCACAGCAGACTACTGCAGACAACTAAGGCCTGGCGCACACGGTCAACTTTTTTATTGGCCGATAAAAACAAACGGCCAAAAATAAATCGCCCTTGATTTATGTCCAGGCGCACACGTGACGATTTTTTAGTCGAGAAATGGATTTTTTTGAGTGCGTTTAAGCTATACTAAAATGGACTTTGTTGAATTAACCTGTGTTTGTGCTCTTCTAATTAGATCAAAGAAAAAAAGAAGACAACTTAAATATTAGGTTCATCCGGTAGTAAGTCAGAGACGTTTAAATCGACAGTTTTATAAACTATACACTTTGCGTGATGACAGTAAAAAGTTCTTTAATTACTAGAGAATGTCTGTTGAAAGTTTCAGCTTATATTATAACAGCTGTGGCCTTTTTTTAGCAAAGATAACAACACAACTCACACTGAAGTTCACTGACTCCTGTGGAGAAAAACAAGGGACTGGCCGATTTTTTAGTCGACCATGTGCGCGGACTGATAACAATCTGTACGTTACATCGCCTCGCCTACAAATCTGTGGCAAAACCCAGATTTTAAAATCGGCGCAATTCTCGATCGCCTGTGTGCGCGCTTCCATTCAAATACATGATGCACAGATGGGCCGATGAAATAGTCGCCTCAAAATAATCGCTCATGTGCGCGCCTAGCCTAAGGTAAGGTTATCCTATATTTCAAAATTGTAATAGGTCAAGGACAAATATTCTTCTGGCATTAATCTCCATAAACTTGTTATTCTTGGTAACCTAATTGTTTTATTTTTATGAAAAAAATGTTCTACACTAAATCGACCCCAAGGAACAAAGTACCATTGTTAAATATTTTAACGTTTTCCCGATACAGGGTGTGCCAAAAACTGAGGGTCACTAGTCTAAATCTTGGAATTTTCAAACGTAAACATATATTATGTTAAACATCATTTTAAAGGTATTCAATAGAAAAACATTCAGGCGAAAACAGAAATTAATTATCTTTTTTCGCTTCAAAATGGCGGCAGTTTTTTTTGGAAAAAATCAATATTTTTTAATACTCAGTGTTTCCTATACCAATGCACTTAGCCCCTAAGTGTAAATTACAAAGTTGTTCAGAATAAAAAAACCTATAAAATGATGTGCCTTTTGACATATGTTTCTATTTGACAATTTTGAACAATAGACATTTGCAAATTCAAAAATTTTTTTTTGAATTTTTATCTTTTCAAAAAACCTTTTTCTTCTAGGATATCAGAGTAAAGCTAATTTCATTACAAGTAAGAACATTTAACCGGAGAAGGGCTAAGTGCATTGGTATAGGAAACACAGAGTATTAAAAAAATATAGATTTAAAAAACTGCCGCCATTTTAAAACGGGAAAAAGATAATTAATTTCTGTTTTAGCCAAAATGTTTTTCTATTAAATACATTTAAGATGCTGTATAACACAACATATGTTTACATTTGAAAATTCAAAAATGTATCGTAAAAAAGTTTAAAATATTTTAATTTTTACGTTATTCCTTGGGGTCGATTTAGTGGAAAATAATTTTATTTCATCCTTGTAGGTTAAGCCGTTTTTCCGTTATCAATTTGAGACACCTCTCGTGGGACACCCTGTATATATACGGCTGTAAACGCAATAACTTAAATAATTTTTGTCCGATTTTGATGAAATTTGGCTTGAAGATGTAGGACAGGATAAACTTGAATGAATTTGCAAACCAGCATGATCTGACCATGGGTGGTTTAATGGGATACAAATTGGGTTTTCTCATTTTTGACCCTCAAAACAATGAAATTCTCCAAAAGTATCATTATACCATTTTAAAGAGCTTAAATAAAAAAAAAAATAGCAAAGTGTTTTTAATGGTTATTGCTCAGGCAAATGGAATTCGCTTAGTCTGCAGGTTTGCTGCGGCGGGAGCATTTTGATTACTTTCGAATTTGTACCAGTTATACAAGCAAAAGTTTTGCCAAAATATAGTAACTTTGGTGCAGCTGGAGTTTCCTTCTGCAAATTTATTTATTTATTTATTGACTAACGGCTGACGCCAATACATAAGAAGATTTAGATTATTATACAATTTAAAGAAAAATAACAGGTGCAAAATGTAAAACAATTCAGAACAGTAACAAGCAATAACATTTGACAACAATAATTGAACAATAAAAACAAATAACAATAAATAGCAACAATAAATACAAGTTAACAAACAGGAAGAAGTTAAAAATAACAATCTCTAATT